ATGTAACAATATAGAACAACAAATATTTTTTAAACAAATTTAACAAGAAATCTTTTTCTTATACTCAATTTTTATTCAAATTTTGCCTTATATTTGTTAAGTTTAATTTCTTCTTCGGGTTTATTCATCACAAGAAAAGAATAAAAAATGCATGTCACAATCGTATTCACAAAATTTGTTACAACCGTACTCAACGCACACTTTGGGAAAAAAATGATCGTTATGATTGAGCTAAAATATCTACGTAAAAACTAATTGCTCTTAATTAACCAAAAATGTTCAACTTATTACACTATTAAAAAAAATCAAACAAAAAATTTTACTATTGATTCTTTGAATACTAACGCTCCAATGTTCATACGCAACAAGATCTTACACGAGGATCTTCACATTGAATTTATAAATAAAGTTATAGAAATAAATAATGTCAAACATTTTTAAAAACTAGAACATCATTCAAATTTTATAGTCACTCAGCTTCTTGAGACACCAATTTCAAGAAGACTGAAGAAGAAGATAATATTGAAGACCCTTAGCACAACTTTGGATATATGAACTGAATCACTTATTGGAGTGATTCTCCAAATACCAAATTCCAAATAAAAATTTTTTCCAAATACCGATATAATATTTATCACAATAATTTATAGAAATAGAAAATATATGTTTGCTTGAAAGTGTGTGTGCATGTGTGTGAGCGAGTGATATAAGTCAAATAGCTCATAGAATTGTACTGTATTTTGATTGAAAATAAAATTAAAAAAGCAATGAGGTCTACAGATCATATTAATATAAGGCACAAACAATAATAGAAAGATGATGGAACAGTCGTATTTCATCTTTCTCGCTTTGGACCCTATCTCAAAATCGGTATAGTTTAGCTTTTATAGCGACTGTCACTACCATGACACCGTTCATAATCGTTCTCTATATTAATTTAAATAATTAAACTGCTTTTTATAGGCCTATAATATTTCACCGTGGTCAGTTCGGGTATAAAATCTACCATTATGCCAAATTTTATCAAAATCCCTGACGTGATACGCGCGGGTTCTCCTTGTTAGTTAAACCATTTCGACTAATCTATTTCTTGGTAGGAATTTCCATAGATTATTAATTATTAATTGAAGCTACAACGTACGTGGCAAGCATGAGGCACAGCCATAAAGCTCGCCGCGCAAAAAGCTCTTGCATGGTATTTCTTTGTGGAAGATGGAAACTGGATTGACTGGTTGGTGATACCGATAAAATATATATATATATATATATATATATATATACTGAAAATACGTAGTCGTTTACTATATTCAGTAGTAATCAAACAATTTCTATATCTCCATGAAGTAAATTTCCATACCCTCCATATGCCTTAGTTATATGCTATTTCGGCTAATCTATTTCTTGGTAGGAATTTCCAGACATTATTAATTATTAATTAAAGCTACGGCAGATGAATTATATACAATAAGCTAACACGCGTACGAGGCAATCGTGAGGCACCGCCACAAAGCTCGCCGTGCAAAAAGCTCTTGCATCGTATTCCTTTGTGGGAGATGGAAACGGGATTGGCAGGTTGGTGACACTGATGAATCGTGTTTCGGTCGTCGACGGCGGCGATTCAAAAGCGACGCGACGTCGTCTCCACCGCGACGCAGCGGACGATACGTCGTCATGCTGACTCATGTGCGGGATAGAATATGGGGTGTTCAGCGGTTCACCGGGTTTTATCGACGAAAATCTGTATAGATTGAGCCAAGATATTGTAAAGTGGTATACCCTTAGTAGGATAGCGAAGGGTTAGGAAGTGGAACGAGCAAATCTAAATTATAAGCTGGTCGGCAGAGTTGCATTATTGGTAGATTCGCTGGGTCGGCTAATTTAAGAGCAACTGATATATTAGATATCAATTTGGAAAGAACGCAAAATCAGCAGAAGTGCGGTGGATACAGCTTTGTATTTCACTCTGTAATGTTGGATAAACAAAAGGTAGTACGTTCTGGTATATAAATAATAAATTGATTATGAAATTTGTTTTCTTCTGCGTGTCATACATTACAAATTAATGAAAACTGATTTCAGGGGGTATTCTAGTCTAGTATTTAAAAAAAATGTTTTGATAATTTTATGATTGAACTACTCAAGAATATGGGTACAAAACAATTTTTCAAAATTCAAATTATTTTTGTTTTCTTTTCTGCGCATTTTTTTCAATCCGAATACAGTACAATCCTATGAGCTATTCGGATTATACCATTCACTCACACTCATACACACACACTTTCAAACACACATATAAATTATTGTGATAAATTTTACTATATGGACAGTTGGAGAATCACTCCAATGAGTGATTCGCCAATTCTGTTCATTTCTACAAAGATGTGGTAGTGCTAAAGGTCGTCAAAATTATCTTTGGAAAGCTTCTTTTTCAGTGTTCTTGAAATTTGCGTCTTAGAAAGCTGAGTGACTATTGAATTTGAATGAAATTTTAAACACTTTTTTCTCAAAACTGACTTTCTCTATAACCACGATTTCTCAACTACTACTGGACCAATTTAGTTATAGTGAGCTGCGCCAATTTGCAAATTCCGATTTTTACTTTACAAAATTCGATTTTTACTTTTAAAAAATTCAATAATATTAAAAAAAATTGTAGGTAAAATATTTTATTTAACAAAACAATTAATTTATCTTGACCTTAGTTCATACCATAGCGACATTATTCTAGAATAATACTGCATATATTTTTTCTTCTTCGGCTAAAGTTATGGGTATAATGAGGAACATTAATTTTTTTATATCATCTACTTGCTTACCTTCTAGCATTGAAAATTTACAACTATTTATATTTTTATAGATTTTTTATATTCTCAAAACATTAATTAATAACTTGTAAAAAATATAGTAAGAAAAAAAATAGATTATATCTAACATCGCATAAAACTCATGCCTCTAGACCAAAATACTCTCCCCTCAAATCGATGATGGACACTAAAATTGTGCGATTAAAAAATTCAGAGTTGATCTTTTGTTTGAGCACTTTATAGCAAAAAATCCCATGTTGAATAATGCAAATATTCTGATGCGTTATTGCTGTACGCAATCTATTTGAATGCAGTTGTTGCATTAATAATATTACATTTCCATTTTGATAAATTTTCGTACTTGTACGAGCAATTCAGGAACTGTTTTGAATTATACAAAATATGCCAAGTCACATATGCAATGTTGTAGAAATTATATTTCAAACTAAATTATTAAATTAAATTATTATCTTGAATTGTGTTAATTTTTATTCTAAATACAATTTTTAGTTCCAGAGCAACTACATGGCATTCCGCAAAATATCAAGCTAGAAAAAAAGGTGAACGGATTAAAATAAGAGACTGTGAAATTTAATCTTATTCGAAACATTTAATATAATATTAATTATATGATATATATTTATGTAAAAATTCTGTACTTTATATTTATCAAAAACATTGATATTCTGCCTCCAATATGTTAATTTAAATTTCTTAAATTATTCCAAACGGTTAAAGCGTGGATTAAAAAACAATAGTAATATTTTACTAAATTTATATAAAGCACATAAATACAATAACAATGAACATAAAAATGCAATTCCAAGTTACCGGCACATGAAACTATTTCATACTACTTAAAATCCGACGTCTTCGAGAAGTTGATCTGCTCATAAAATTATATTCATAACCTTTATTATATTACAACTCGTAATGTTATTTTTTAATATAAAACATGTCGTAGAATGATGTCCGCTTGACGATAAACATGAAATTCAAGTGTCACTTTAGTTGTTATTGCAATAAAGACAATGGCAGAGTTGAGTTTATATGGTGTTTTGCTCTGAAGGCATTTGAAGATTTTTATAGGCGCTAAAGTTTTATTAAAAATATGAAGTATTATTATGGATGATATAAAGTCTAAATTAAAAATTATGAAAATTTCTGAGATATGCAAGTCATTATTATAAAAAACGAATAAAGCATAAGGCACCCTGAGAGCATAAACCAGCCTAGTAGCAGGCGCAGATTTTTAATATCGTTGATTGTAATATGTAATATTATAAGAAAATTTTGATTGCTTTTGTTATGATTTAAAATATAAAAAAAGAAATTAAGAATAACTCCTTTTCTGTAATTCTCTGTGTTACACATATCTTTCCTGATAAACAAATCTGCTTCTAGCAATATTTACTAGATTATAACAATGAAAAAATATCGGCAAAGCTTTTATATCTACTAGTTTATATTCTAGTATATTGATGAAGAATCCCACACTGCATGATATTCAATTTTTCCTCTCACGTATTGGAAAAGTAATTCGACACTAAATTTTAACGCAGCATATAAATTCTGGCAATAAAATAACACACACCTATATTCACATAGCAAAAAAAAGTTATGGGAGGCACTATAAAATATATCAGGCAAAACTAAACTAAACCAAATTTATAGAATTACAGTAATTCGAAATTTTATATCCTTGTAGGTAGTTTTTGATATAACTTATACAAATGAAAGTTCTGATGCGATTATGCTCTCGAATCCAAAAATTCCAAGAATTATATAATGTAATCTGAATAAAATATGAGGTTTTAGGGTTGAAAATATTCGGTTGCAATCTGACTGGTTAAATTATTACACGCTTCTCTAACGTTTGAGGCAAAGCGGGAATTTGATGTGGTATTAAATCTTATTTTGCCGATGTCAGACAGTTTTTAATATAGTAGGGTCCGTTTGCGGTCGAATGGATAAGATTTTATTACGACACTAAATCGTATCGAAAATATGACGTCCGCAATGCGCAGATATATGCACATTTGGATGCAAACACATATAAAACATAATATTATTTATATCTTGCCTTGCATAAGATATTTATATTCACCAACTTTACTTAGATAGGTTAGATATAGATATTGCAACGGTTTAGATAATTTTCAAATATTTAGATATAAATTAATTTTTTGCACTTACCCTGAAACTCCTTCCTCGCTGTACTAACCGATGTGACAATGTTCGCCACATGTCCAAGTACTGTGGCAAATAATAGTAAACCGAATAATAATTGAGCAATTACAAAAATGTATTCACTTTTACTACGAGGCCTTGGCAAATCACCTACAAAAATGATTGTAAGTAAGAAAGCATTATACATTGATATTTATGAATAAAAAAATGTAAATTATTATTACCTATCGTGGTGAGCGCCAACGTGCACCAGTAATAACTCTGCAAGTATTGCTTCACAACGTCAGAACTCTCCGAGTCATGAAAGACCCAATTTTTACTACCGAAACCATTATTTTTTGCTATTATATGATATAAACAGCCATTCCAATGAAATATCACTAACAAGTAATGAATAAGACTCAGCGATCTGAATAAATTTGGATAGTTCGTATGCCTTTCTGTTCTGTCCATGAAGGCCCAGAACTGATAAATTTTGACTAGACGAAACGACCTGAGTATTGAATTGAATCCTATGGATAAATATAGAAAGTCCAATGGTAGAAGACATAAGCAGTCTATGTAGAATGTCGTTGAATTCATGTAATGATGCCTCAATTTGACCGCGTCCGTCTGAAGGACGCCGTCCTCTAAGTAGCCAGTCCGGAAATGAATCATAATGTCCAAGAGATACAGGAAGTCAGCGAAGTAATCTAGTGCGAACCACGTCGAGAGTGTGTCTCCTGCAGAGAAATTGGAAAAATCAATTAGAGAAATGAGGTAAAAAATGTCTTATTGTAACATAATGATTGTACTTGGCAACTAGTAACAAAAATATTTTTTTTTTTTGTAATATTCTAACTTCGAATGAAGATAAAGTTTATTATCGAATAGGGGCATAAAAGTTCAATTTGACTTTCAGTAATTATACTGTCTAAACCAGTGATTCTCAAAGCAGTCCATGACAACTTTCCAAGAGTCCACGTCAATAAAAATGAATTATGGAGATCCACAATAGTTGATCACAACACACCTTGTTAACCCTCAGTCGGTCGGCGTGGTCTGGCCAGACTTTTTTCGATTTGAATTAAAAAAAAAAAAGCTTCTAGTAATCCTATCGACTTGAAATTTCTTGACTTTTCCTAAAATTTCATTAGCTGTCGATCAATGAAAAAATCAGAACGAAAAAATGTTCAAAAGGATAATTATAAGGATATTAACTTTTTTATACTTCGAACGGTCGAAGTGGTCTGTCTAGACCACCCATTCATTTTGTATGAAATATACGCTTTTTGATATACGTAATGCAGTATTTTGTCTTTTTTCTGGTATTTTCTATTTAAACTGCATTTTATATATTCTTTGCTATGTGTTGTAACATGAATGTTAGTATTTTCACGACGAGAGTTCCTTGAAAATCTACCAAACTTATTGGTCATCGCAAACATTGAAAATCGGATGAGTAACGCGCACATTATCAACAATTTTTCTGTCCGTATTGCGTTCGAAATTTTTTTTGGCAAACCTGTAGTGAAATTATATTTTCAACTTGAATTTTACAGCTCATTTCAAAGGCGACGCACCTCATTTCGATTTCATTTGAATTTTACATTCATTACGAAGGAGCCGAAAAAGAATAAATATTGTTTTTCAATGATATGAAACAGAAAAATAAAATTAACAAAAAAAGCAACGATTTTTTCATATTCTTTGACTTTTTTATATAATATAATATAATATATAATTTTTTTATTATAAGCAAGCTCAACACATGCAAAAGAGGGTAAAAAAAAGAAAAAATCAAAACTATAAATATTTATTACTAATAATTGTTAATATATAAGACACCAAAAACTAATTTATCCCATATAAATGCATGTGAAATGAGTGGTGGTCCAACGAGACCACTCCGACCGTTCGAAGGTGAATAAATATCCGACCGACGGAGGGTTAATATCTATTTTATTATTATTATGAACTCAATTACTAAATTGTATTAACTTGGATTAGTATTTTTATTTTAATTTTATAATGCTAAATGCAAATGTTAATACGAATACAAATTCATAAAAAAATCGATATCGACTAAATAGGGGTCCATAGCAAAATCTAAGGAGTCCACAAGACAAATATGTTTGGCGACCTATGATCTAAACCATAGGTTCCCAAACTTGTTTGTGCCATGGACCCCTTACAATGTTTTTTTATAAATAATCAACCCACAAAATTGCTTTGAATTCATGGTTGAATTATTCCTCCAACCATTCTCAGACGGTATGTTCTCAAAAATGCATAATTCGATTTTGATGAAACTTGACACACATTGTAACTAGGCTTTACCAATATTGTGACCAAAATTTTAAGTTGGAACATTCAATAGTTTTTGAGATATGCGAGGTTAATGGGTGGCTGGCTCTGCTCTACAATTTATTTTTGTTAATCAAGACTTTAATGTCAATATTAGTATTGAAACAGATTGTACGTTTTCAAAAATGCATAAATCGATTTTGATGAAACTTGACACACATTATTACTATACTTTACCAATATTGAAATTAAAATTTCAAGTTGGAACATTCAATACTTTTTTAGATATGCGAGGTTGATGGGTGGCTGGCTCTGCTCTCAATACTAGTATTGTAAAAGATTGCACGTTTTCAAAAATGCATAATTCGATTTTGATGAAACTTGACATACATTGTTACTACACTTAACTAAATTTATGACAGAAATTTAAAGTTGAATCGTTTAATAGTTTTTGAGATATGCAAGGTTGATCGATGTCTGGCTCCGCTCTCAATACTAGTATTGTAAAAGATTGCACGTTTTCAAAAATGCATAATTCGATTTTGATGAAACTTGACATACATTGTTACTACACTTAACTAAATTTATGACAGAAATTTAAAGTTGAGTCGTTCAATAGTTTTTGAGATATGCAAGGTTGATCGATGGCTGGCTCCGCTCTCAATACTAGTATTGTAAAAGATTGTACGTTTTCAAAAATGCATAATTCGATTTTGATGAAACTTGACATACATTGTTACTACACTTTACTAAATTTATGACAAAAATTTAAAGTTGAATCGTTCAATAGTTTTTGAGATATGCAAGGTTGATCGATAGCTGGCTCCGCTCTCAATACTAGTATTGTAAAAGATTGTACGTTTTCAAAAATGCATAATTCGATTTTGATGAAACTTGACATACATTGTTACTACACTTTACTAAATTTATGACAAAAATTTAAAGTTGAATCGTTCAATAGTTTTTGAGATATGCAAGGTTGATCGATGGCTGGCTCCGCTCTCAATACTAGTATTGTAAAAGATTGTACGTTTTCAAAAATGCATAATTCGATTTTGATGAAACTTGACATACATTGTTACTACACTTAACTAAATTTATGACAGAAATTTAAAGTTGAATCGTTCAATAGTTTTTGAGATATGCAAGGTTGATCGATGGCTGGCTCCGCTCTCAATACTAGTATTGTAAAAGATTGCACGTTTTCAAAAATGCATAATTCGATTTTGATGAAACTCGACATACGTTGTTACTACACTTTACTAAATTTATGACAGAAATTTAAAGTTGAATCGGTCAATAGTTTTTGAGATATGCAAGGTTGATCGATGGCTGGCTCCGCTCTCAATACTAGTATTGAAACAAATTGTACGTTTTCAAAAATTTGATTTTGATGAAACTTGACACACATTGTTACTACACTTTACCATTCATATGTATGACCCCCAAATTTTCCTGCCATGGACCCCTTGAAAGTTGCCATGGACCCCTAGGGGTCCATTTGGACCACTTTGGGAATCACTGGTCTAAACCAACTACATCATAACACATAATGCATATCAAACAAATAACGAACTATGTTCAGTAAAATTTCCAATCAATTCCTAACTTTAGAAATATGTAACTAAGATATTTTCCTAGAATTTGTCACGAGCCCTTGAAAACGAAATAGGTTAAAATAGTTTTAAGTGAAAAGATTAGTTGTTATTTCATTGTTAATTATGTTTGATGTTTTTTATAATTCGATAGTTTTATGTTTACAATTTATATATTTTGTACCCTAAATTCTGTATTTGCATATACATTAATCAGTGTAAAATTACTACAGACTTAGAATGTTTGTAGCTGATATCAAACTGACCCTGAGTAAATATTATTTCAATTAAATGTTCTTATTATAACATTAAGAATGTATTTGGCCAACTGTTCACCAATAATACTTTAATTTATAGCATTTTGCGCTATAAATTTTCTACAACAGAAAATAGATCACTTAGTGCAAAAATGCTAAGGATATGAAATAAATATAGCTTCTATCAAACTAATTCGTAAACTTCTTATAAATGTTATTTTAATTTTCTTATTATATATTTTTGATGTATTTGGTCACCAGTTTTTATGCTTTGTGCAATCTTTGTAATCTTTTTAAATTCTATATAATTGCAAATAAATTAATTAGTGCAAAAATACTATAGATATGAAATGATTATAGCTGCTATCAAACTGATTCGTGAATAACATTTCAAATATAATATTTTATGAGTTGGAATATTTGATTGCTATTTACATTTATTATTGCATTATACGCCACACCAAACGATTGAAAATAATACTACAATTTCCATAAAATAATTAAATATTATGTATAATGGTAAAAATAGAAAGACTATTAAAAGTTGCTAATGTTTCATTATTGCTAATGTCATATTATTTGGAATCTATTGATTAAATTAAATGAAATTTGAATGATTTCAAATTATATGTAAAATAAATTGTGTATAGCATAAAATCACAGATCAAAACAACAACCCATTAGATGCTCTAACAAAATTAAAAAAATATCATATTATCCCATCAAAGTAATGACACCAATTTAAACCAACAACTTAATCATGAAATCTCGAACAATTTATCTCCAATTTGCAATAATAACACGTTAACTAACCTTATTCATTGCAGTATCAAATTTTGAATACCGGACGGGTTTAATTACCTACTACACAATATTATTATCCTAGTTTAAATGTTAAGTACCTAAATGCTATATAGCTTAGTTTATTACAAACGGAATTAAATTGTTATGCATACTCGTAATTTCCTGAAATGCGAATCTGTATATGATGACCCAGAAATTGTAGAGAAATGCCAATGAGACGACCATTGACCAATAGTAGATAAACCGTCCGGCGGGATCGAACAAGAACGACCAATTCGTCACTCGATGCTTGGGCCGAGTCGGATACGAGGCACTCCTTGTACGTCTAGAAAAAAAAATAATGTATATAAATTATATACCCTTATCACTATTAGAACTTTCAATTGTTTTCATAATTAATTTATACTACACATTTGGCTCTACTTTTAAAAAAGGAGTACGCGTAAGGTTCAGACGCGATTGAAGTAAAACTTATTTGCTACTGTACAAGATGGCATTTAAGTAAAAATAAATACATCATATAACAATTTTGAATAATGTTTATTAGTAATATGGTAACACTCGTGATGCACATATTTATTAATGTCAATCATTATAAACATTTATATAATGATAAATTATAAATTACAAATTTGTAATAGCATTAAAAATATGTATAATATTTAAAAACAATAATGTAATTGAAGTCATACTTGAAATATGATATGATCGGTTTGTCATTGTATTCAGCATTTAGAAATGAAACTTCATTAGAGAAATAAAGTAATTGCTGATCAATAACTTCTAAAATATTCGTTCACACAGTAGATTATGTTAAACAACGCCTAAACAAATATTGTTTTCGCCACTTCACTCATCATGTAATAATTGTGTTTTAAGAACTTCATGCAATTAAAATTAACATACATTCATTGACTGATGGTATTTTTTTTTACATTTTCGCTGGCGATATAATCTCATTCTTTGAACAGCTATAATATCTGTTTCACCTAAAAAATATTTTCCATGTCAATAACTTCAAAGATTTATAGAAACTACGAATAATATAGAAATTATTTCAATAAACTTATGTTTCATACATGGCGCAAATGCTGCATTTGTTTTATTATTTTCATTATAATTATTTACGGGGGACAGGATAAAATATTCTTCTGATTCAGGCATTTTTCATTAAATCAAGATTTGTACTACGTTGTAACTTTAAAATGTTTATTTACCTATGTCGATTTCCTTGTTGATATCGGTACGCATACAACGACAGATCTCTATTCACATACGCGACAACTAATCACAATCGACTCGTATAGAAATGATATCATCGAGAGCGAATGACGAATCATTGGCTCGACTCTTATCTTATCTTATATGCCGTAACGCACTTCCGTTGCATTTGTACGGATTTACACCCTAGTCGCGCCTAAAAAAGTTTTACTTCAAAAATAAGATATATAAATCAACTTTTATCCAAATAATAGTTTCATGTGACAAATGTACGAAGTGCTAATCTGTAGTCAAAATGGACTTGTGCCTTGAATGAGAATCGTATTTTCCGTATTTCCGTATTTCAACGCACCTGTCAGTTCCGTTACAGCTGCCAGTGGCACTGCCCAGGTGATTCGTGGAAGGGGCATTGGTCCCCGCGGAGCATCCAGTGCCCCTCCGGCCCCCCGCACCCAATAGGGCGGTGTCGCAGCCACTGCCATATGTTGCACCAGTAACGGGATATTTCAGTCTGGAAATGAAAATTTGGGGACATCAATATTTTGGGTATATCGAATATTAATGGACTCAGAACCTATTGCAGTAGTAGGTATACGAGGTCTGTTCAAAAAGTACCCGGAATTTTCGTTTTTCAAAAAAATATTTATTTATTCGTCTACATTAATGTGGTCCCCTTCAAAGTAGTCCCCCCAGATATAATACACTTATGCCAGCGTTTTTTTCCAATTTTCGAAGCACCCTTGATATTCACTTTTTGATATGTCCTTGAGCACTCTCAGCGATTTTCTTCAATCGAGGAAAACCGCCGTCCTTTCATGGGTCTCTTCAACTTTGGGAATAGGAAAAAGTCACACGGAGCCATATCTGGTGAATTTTTGCACTTTGCAACACTTTATTTCATTTTTTACGCAAAATTTAATACAAATTCTTTGACTTTTCAATTCTTCCATTGTAAAAATCGCCGAGCTCAGAAAAACACGTCGAACCTTAGCGACTACCACAGACAAAGTAAACAGTGAATATAGCTGAAAATTTCATCATACTTTAGGGGCATGTATACCAACACAATAAAAAAAAATTTTGACAATCAGACACTCCAGACCCGCGAAATTTAATTATTAGTAATTCCGGGTACTTTTTGAACACACCTCGTATATACTGCACTACACGTATTTCAATATGTGTTGTGTTCAGATCTTAATTAAAAAGCAATTGCTTTTATAAAATATACCTTGAAAGATAATCTTTTAATTCTAGTCTTACAAACTTACAATAGTCTTTTGCTTTCGACTGTTTCAGTAGAACAACTAGAATTCAACTATTTTGGTCTGTTACCCTAGCACATATTGGCAGCAATGAATACATTAAAAAATATGCTCAACTAATATTAACCCTTTCCACTCGGATGCCGCCACTCCGGCGGCAAAATTCATATAAATCTCGTAATTCGCGAGTGGAAAGAGTTAAAATCAATTTACAGATTAGAATTTCATAGCCGTATAATCACAATAATTAATTTGGCCTATAAATAAACACAATAATCTTAATTGTTAATTACCACCTAGAATTATTCATATAACAAATATATACTAAATAATTTACGTTTTCTAAGTACCGTCAAACTTTAAACACGGCGGTTTTCTGATAAATTATTAAATGCTTAGCAGCGCTTGTGGCTTCAAATAGAGTACTATATATATGAAGCCATATATCTAAATAGAAATACCGGTATAGTATATATTGTTCGAGCAAGAATTTACAATATAACTTAGATAATGTAAAATCTGGCGTAGAATGTATAGCACGCGTAAAGTTCAAGCATGGAATTAATTAGCTATTAACATGCATAAAATAAAGAGAATACTGAATCATACTTTTGCAATTATAATAGAAAGTAATCTGCATTGCAGATGTTTCGAGAGTAAATCATTATGCTAGCCAATTGCAAATGTGATATGATAAGCCAATATATATTGTAACTCAACAACGATATTAATTCCAGAATACAGTGAACATGATCCTAATACATTAACAGGATACGAATTGTGGGTAGTCCTTTACGTTTGTCATCATACATCATATCAAATTTCATCATAGTTTGGTTGATTTAAGTAGAAATTTCAATTATCCTAAATCTAGTGATCCTAAAAAATATTTTGCTTTTGTGAACCATTTATAACACTTGTGTTATATGATTTTGCATACAAACTTTAATTTGGTTAATCGAAACCTTCTGGGACAATATGTCAATATTAATATTTAGTATATTATCTGTTAACGCAAAAAGCGAAAAGCTCAACCCTGGTCTATATAGATAATATATAATATTATAATAGATATTATAAACCTAATCTTTTAATAAGCATTATATACATAAAAAATGATCTAAGCATCTGTTATTGCATTATTTATATTACTAAAAAAAATCTCATATTCATAGTTCCTGCAAATAAGCAGTTCCTCAGTCAGTAATCCACTTTCCTGACAAATCAAAAAATAATTTGCTTTTGTGAACCATTTACAAGACATGTACTATATGATTTCGCACACAAACTTTCATTTTGTTAATCGAAACCTTCTGGGACAATATGTCATATATATATTTAGTATATTTATCTGTTACGCCAAAACGCAAAGCCAACTAGTCTATATAAATATATTTTAAAACCTTTCATACAGAATGCAGTGATAAAACCTAAGCTCTGTTATTGCACTATTTTGTTCTATTAAAAAATCTCTTGTATTATAGTGCATCCTGCAAATAAACAGTTCCTCAGTCATTAATTTGCCTTTCTAAGAAATTGTATTCTTTGAAACTTGACCCAACTAAATCACAGGCCAATATATGATTGATTAAGGAATGCAATAGAAAGTCACTTGCATCGAACAGAAAACCAATCAGAAAAATTATATAAATTATTAAAACTTTGTAAATCACAAGCAATAATTAAACCACTTCTCATAGGCCTACAATATTTTATGGGGTTTGATAGGGCAAGTTATAGTAATCGAAAAAAAATCGATTCAAAACCTTCTGAACATTTTGGCATACCTTAGAAAAAATGGATGTATGTGTGTGTGTGTGTGGGTGGTGTGTTTATGCGTGTATGTATGTCTGTGCGGATACAAATTTTCGTCGACGATTTCGGGAACACTGGTGAAGCAATTTGAATAATTCAAAAAACATTCGAATCGTATTGATAACGAGGCATGCTGATTAGTTTTTGGCGTAGGCAGGTCTAGCCGTTCCGAAGATATGGGGCAAAAAGTGCCAAAAACGGTAACTCAGTTTTTAAGAGAACGGTCCGTCCGATTTAAATAATTTAGTTTCGGAGATCTAGTAAAAAAAAGTAAAAAAAAAGCAATTTAGCGGTCAAAAATGATCATTAAACATATGCACATCAAATTATCAGATATTTTATGCAGATTTTAACAATAAGTATAAATTTTGTTTACGTTCCTAGGGTTCCGTATCAATGTTTGTCTGTTGGACGGCGATGCGGCGCAGTTAAAGCAGTACGACTGCTTTGAAAATAAGTTCAGAATTTCCAAAATATTTCAAAATAATTTTTTTTTAAAAGTCTTTTTTTTTAAAGAAAAAAAGTAAATTTTTGTCAAAAATTTATAGTTTCTCAAAATCTAATATTTTCACAGTAAACTTTTTTCAAAAATGTTATTCTCTAAAAAATTTGGTACGGGAAGTTTCAGCAATTCGCCTTAAGGCACGATGCCATGCGCCCACTAGTTTTTTATTTATATATCGCATAAAAAAGTTTACTTTATTAATGCTGTAATTCATGCTATTCTACATTATGAATATATTTATTTGTTAGTTTATGTGAACAAATTTCATTTATATGAAGTCAAAACCAATTTAATCTCTATTGTGTAAAAACTGTCTCCATAAAAGCTATTTAGAGCCATCTTGCAGATGTTTACACTTTTACATCTATATTAAAGTGAGAACTGCCAGCACAAAATTTACACGAGATAAGAAAATAATTCTTATGCATAAATTCTTATAATATCATACACGAGTAATAACTACACTTCCCATGCATAAATGCTATTAATATGAATGTAATCCACGATGAATTGAACGCGGAGCCGACTGGATTTCTGGTTTTGCGAGGGAATTTGTGTTATTTCTAAACAGAATTAGTTCAGAGCACCTTCCACCATCTTTGTGTGGTGAAGTTTTCTAAGTGAACTTTGCTTCTCATATAATATTCAACGGTGCAAACTGAATGTGAAACGCTCATTCACTCTCATTCACTCCGCCGTTCACTGTGCCGCAGCCCCTGCTTCATTGCTCCAACAGCAAAGCATCGCGAATTAATTCTTAAATGCAAATACTCTAATTTCCGACATTCGTATACACAGCCAATTTGTGAGCGCTCTTAGTGTTTGAATAAGGAATAGACAAACATCATTTGTACCGGATGGTAATAATCGGTTTCACATTATGTTGGGGTATAATTAGGTTATTGTGAGGAAAAGAATACTCTTACCAACTTAAACTCCACATTCATCGACTATAAATATTTAGTTATCGATTTATTAATTGGCGAATTGTGAATCAGTAACATTTTAAACTAATCAAAGTCTGATCAATAGCGCAATCAAATTAAATATATTTTAAGTTAAATCTTGTTGTAAGTATACATAATTTTCATAATTGTGATACTATACATAATCATACATAAACAAATGTGCATTCTACTTAATTTTTTTTTTAATATTTAAAGATTTTTAGTAATATTTTTACATATTCTTATAAAAACGTCTAACGCATATCAATTTTGACAGTAGTCCATTTTCAAAACTGGCAAGAGTAACAATTTTAAGGGTGTTAGTACCATTTTCTAAACTCCAAGGCAATAGAATTCTTATAAAGATATAATTTTTTATTTAGAGTAAAAAGTTTAAGATAATTCAAGTATAAAAACTAAAAACATAGGCATAAATATTCAAAGTTGCTTAACGCGTTCAGTTCTTAACGAGTTCAACTTAATATATTTTGATAA